CTGTCTCCCAAGGGACTCTCTCAACCAGTGGGACTCTCTTTACACTTTGCTTTGGACCAGCTGGAGAGAGGATGATGAACATGTTTGTTTTCCAGTGAAGACAGATTAATTTCCAATCAAAAGCTGTTTTTTAAAAAAAAGAGAAAATGAATGTGTCTTTCTGTGCAGCATTTGTGGTCAAATATTGAATAATCCATATGATGGCTTACTATATGAATTTGAAATTAATTCAAAATAATTATGCATCCTGCCCAAGTATTTTCATTATATAAACTGAGAACAATTAAAAAGCTAAACCAAGAGCATACAAGTTAAAAAATATTTAATTAATTTCAATCATTATAAATTGTGTGAATACAGAAAAGAAAATGTGTTTTCTTTACCTGGCAAGGTCCTTTGAATTGCTCAGTTATAATGAATGCATTTGTTTGCCAGAAATGCAGGACGGCTATCCAGTTATGTGTTGTTAACATCTGCATATTAAACATCTGAGCCCAGTTAATGCATTATGGAGCTCTAACTCTTTGATGCATCATAACCTTGCATTTTCATTCCTTGCAGAAGGAAATCCATATACCTGGTGGGTTGGAAAAGCCAATGAGAAGCATTACTACTGGGGCGGATCAGGACCTGGCATTCAAAAATGTGCCTGCGGCATCGAACGCAACTGTACTGATCCCAAGTACTACTGCAACTGTGATGCTGATTATAAGCAATGGTGAGTGATTTACAAGAAGGCAGGGTGATAATGACCACAGTGTCTTAACTTTTACAACTACTGCAATTATTCTGAATGTTTTTTATTTATGTATTTTCTTTCTTACTGAAGAATGAAGTAAAAAAGACTGTATTTGTGATCCCTCCTACTGCAAAGTATCTATCCATCTTTTCATTTCCATTTTATTCACAGTATCTGTGGCTGTCAAATATAACGGAGCTTATTTATGTTTTCAAGTCAACTGAGCTATAGAAAAGGATGCTAAAGTTGAATAATCAAGTCCCAGTAGGAGAGGCCAGCATTCTGGGTTTCCATGAAAGTTTGTTTCCATTCAGTCATATTAAAATGCAGTATTTAAATTTATCTCTGCAACTTCATTTTTTTCCCAGATTTCTCCTTTTTGTAGTACTATTGCTGCATCAGCCGGTAAAATGTGAGAGATATCACTCATCTAGTGACTACAACCCTCATTATCCATCTTTCTTGAGAAAAATGTATCAAGAACTAAGCTTAAAGAGTATTACGGAATGAGGCTCTGTATTTCAGGGGAAGCTATGGCACTTTGCATGACAGAATTAAATATTCATTGGCCTGTTGGTTGAGAATACAAACCTATAGCCCCTTTGGGATGAGACTGAGAGCTCTAATTTCTTCTCTAATAAATAGTTATTGATTCATCCCAGGTGGAACAATTTTAACAGAGGGTCTGAGGAAGTCCTACCCCAGAGTATTTTACAGCCTGGTAACAGGGGCAGTCTGCTGTGAGGTAACTGATGTGGGTTTAAATCCCTTCAGGCAGAAAAGAGAATTAAACCTGCATCTCTGATATTCCCCATAAACACTCTAACAATGAACCTACTGTGTAAAGCTCATCATCATTTTGTGTGAGACCCACACTGTGCTCTTAAAGCGCTTTGTTTGTAAGCTTTAACTGTTTGTGTCTCTTTCGTCATGACAGGCAACATCATGGTTTACATAGTATGCAATGTTCAGTGACCAGTTGGAACGATAATTTTATGAACACTTTTCCCATTAATAATAACCTGTTGGTAATTGAATCTATACTGGCTTATAAACCATTTTGTGTTAATTGAGAAAGTCATACAGCTATTAATGAATATAGAACTACAGAACTCTAGTGGTATGTCAGGGATTTAAAAAAAAAAAAAAAGGGTAGGGAGAATTACAGAATCACAGAATAATTGAGGCTGAAAGGGACCTCAGAGGTCATCTAGTCCAAACCCCCTGTTCAAGCAGGGCCATCTAGAGACTGCCCAGGACTGTGTCTAGATGGCTTTTGAATATCTCCAAGGTTGGAGACTCTATAGTTTCCCTGGGAAACCTGTGCCAGTGTTTGGTCACCCTCATAGTAAAAAAGTGTTTCCTCATGTTCAGAAGAAACCTCCTGCCTCTGGTCCTGGCACTGGGCACCACCGAAAACAGTCTGGCTCTCTCTTCTTTGTACCCTCCCTTCGGTATTAATACACATTGATGAGATCCCCCCTGAGCCTTTTCTTCTCCAGGTTGAACAGTCCCAGACGTCTCCTCTTCATAGGAGGGATGCTCCAGTGCTGTCCAAAAAGGCGAATTCATTACCTGGTGTGCAATAAGCCAATTTCATACACAGAGTCGAGATACCGGTTTATAACAAAGTTGAGCAAGTTTGGGTGCCAGTTGGCAGAGCCACAAGGCTAGCACACCTAGGGATGTTTCTTATATGGCGTTTCTTACACACATTCTTATCTATAGCCACTACCTTACTGCAGCCCCTCCTCACACTAATTGGTCAGTGAATTTGCATACAATTACACAATCTTTTCTACATACAACACATTCTCAGGGGTGGGAATCTGACCTGGGCTGGGGTCTTCTTGACCTGTGGGTGTGGTTTTTAGTATTACAATAATGATAGTTCGGTTAAGGATACATCTTAATCATGCTTTCGGCTGACTATTCTAAATATACTGATTAACTACATAATTAGTTCACTCATACTCCGGGTTGTTCCCATCTTGAAGGACAGATTTGAAGCCGAATTGAGGTTAGAAATTCCTTCACTATCCACTCCTGACATGCTCAAGGATGGTCAGCTTGTTCCTAGACAAAGAACATACCTCAGCTATATCTGTATTTGTATAGATTAACTCTTGCTTGCCTTATAACACCAGTCCCTTAATCATCTTAGTGGCTCTTCATTGGACTCTCTCTACTAATTCCACCTCTGTCTTGTACTGGGGAGCCCAGAGTTGGACACAGTACTCCAGGTGTGGCCTCACCAGTGCTGGGTAGAGGGGATGGATCACCTTCCTTGCCCTTCTGGCAATACTTTGCCTAATGCAGCCCAGGATACCATTAGCCTTTCTGGCTGCAAGGGCACATCATTGGCTCATGTTCAACTTGACATCCACCAGGACCCCTAGGGCTTTTTCTGCCAAGTTGCTTCCCAGCTGGGTGGCCCCCAGCATATACTGGTGCATGGGGTTGTTTTTCCCCAGGTGCAAGATTTTACACTTTTCCCCATTGAACTTTGTAATGTTTCTGTGAGCCCATTTCTCCAGCCTGTCATGATCCCTCTGGATGGCAGCATGACCCTCTGGCATATCAGCCACTCCTCCCAGTTCAGTGTCATCTGCAAGAATGAAGTATGAAAAATACAGAATTAGAGTAGTAAATGAAATCTTCCAGGCCCTGCAAAAATGATAGATTAGGATGTGGGAAATCAAACATTGCCACTATAAGCTTTGACATTGTTAGGATAGTATGCTGTCAGCTATGGTGCGGGGTGAATTGTAGAACACCACAGAGACAGAGAAGTCAATATTAGAGAGAGAGAAATCAGACATGATGCCAAACTTCAGAGGTAGAATTATATAGAGAGTGAAGAATATGAAGTCAGAGGACTGACTCAAACATAGGCACTACAGCAGTGTGGCAGGAGGGAGGTAGGTTTGGTTCTGTGACAAAATGGTAATGGTAAAAGAAAGATATTGCAATAACAATTACAAATAACAATTACAATAATGGCAGAATTAGGAGCACTTACAGTTTTCATTGCTTGAGGCATTGGATGTGTATCCATGAATAATAGCCTCTGTACCATATGTTGAGTCTTTTCTTTTACGCTGAGGGAAATGCATGGGGGAAATAGCATTGACTTTTGATCTCTTCTTGTGGCTTCTCTAAGAGTCACAGATCGTAATTTAATAAGCAGCATTCACGAAATAATATTTTTCTGTAACCTCTATGCCCCCTTTATGCACTGAGATTCTATGAAACCTACCAATACATAGATTCATATAATTATTAGATTTTTTAAAATTTAAAATAAGATTGCTATCATAATAAATACACAGTTTCCTGTTTCCTCAGATAGACTGTTTCTGTTTCCTCAGAACTTCAAACAAGACGACATTTATACAGTATTTCTCTGGATATATGTCAGGTTTTTTTTACGGAAACTACTGTATATTACAGGACAATTTATGAAAAATAGTTATACAACTTGATATTATATTTTAGTCTGTGATGTGTGTAAATCACAAGAAGAAATGAAAGCCTCGTTATAGTTTTTAAGGCCATTTTGTTCAAGATTCATTTTTGCAGTTTAGTTTTGGCTGAATCTAGCCCATTCCAAAGTCATATCTTTTGGGTTTTGGTATTATTTTGAGAATTCCTAGTTAGGTATTTTCTCTATCCGGGTTGATCAAAACCAAGTGAGCTCCAGAGGTGAAGAGACCTCACTGACTTCAGTTATTGGGGCAGCAGGGGCCACCCCAGACCAGGACCTCCAGCACATACGTGCTCAACTCTGGTGATGGCAAAACAGCTCCTGGTTTGGACCATAGTATCTGCAAGAGCACTTTTGGACAATTGGCAGGAGTGGGTAGATTTAGCCGGTGGTAGCGATAGGAGCCTAGAAGGAGCAAAGGCCATTGAGAGGCTCAGAGAGCCCGTGAAAGCATGCATCCATCACATCCATTCAAACCTTGCTTTTGCATACACAATTTTTCATATTCCAACTATCGTGTAAACTATAGTATATCTTCTAGCCTTAGAGGTAAAAAAGTGTTAGCTTAGGAATATTGGGAGCATTACTTTGATACAGAGGGGAGCACGATGCAAGGATCCTCAAGCAAGGACTGACTGAGATAACTCCAGAACTACAATCCAGGCATCATGACATAGACAGTAGTAAGCCTTTGAAATAGAGTTACATGGGTATTCCAGTACAGTGTAGAAATTACTATTAGTACAGGGATCTTTGCAGCTATGATGAGCAGACAAGTCTCAGCTCACAGACTGACAAAGTGGCTTGCCACAGCTGTCACCCTAGCTTATCAGCACAACTTATTTTAGAAGAACTTACAGTCCCCTAAAACAGAAGGGATGAATAAATGCCAAACTGGGCCCAGGTGGGACTTTCAGTAGTTGTGTGTCTTGGCCATATCTGGGAGCACTGCATTTGGTAGTGGTATGCCCACAATGATTTTCTGCTCATGCCCAGACAATGTGGAAAAAAGTTTATATCTGATTTTTTTTTTTTTTGGAGGGGAGAAGACACAGTGGGGAAAAGGCAGTAGGTAGACCTACTGTATTAGAACTCTAACAACTATATTAGAAAAGGGAAAGAAGTAAAATGGGAAAAGAAGTCAGCTGAGTGGAAATTGTGGGAATGAAAGGTGAAGAAGAAGAGATTCAGTGCAGAGATTCAGATTTTGAAGTGCGGGCACTCTTTTTAAAGGAGGTTCGGGAGCCATTGAAGAGTGAGTCAAGCTGAATCAGAATGATATAGTGTAAGTAGAATATTGTCCACAATTTTTATTGTAGAAGTTAGAAATTGTGTTAGAAATGAAGAAGGGAATTGCAATTTGATGAATGATCTCATAGCAAAGGCAGGAGAATGCTACCCTGGAGATCTGGCTTCTAACTCTGCCTCTGGAATGACAGTCTTGTGTGATGTTTGATAACATTCATAAACAATTTCTTCACGGAGCAGTCAT